TATCTATCTATCTATCTATCTATCTATCTATCTATCTATCTATCTATCTAAGATATAGATATATAGATATAGATATGATTGTGTCGAAACGATCATTTTAACCCGATTTGCCGAACCAAAACCGCGCGAAATTTTCGAAAATCTCGAAAATCTCCCTTGCACTCCTTGCAACTTGCGGCCGCTGCAACGTACCTTTAATTCACTTCCAGGAACACGCAAGCACACCCCACAAATATTATTTAGATGCTGCTCCGCCTCTCAAGTCCGTCTGTCTGTCTGTCTCTGCTTAGGGATGGATTAGTCGTTTGGTTTGTGTCTGTCTGTCTGTCTGTTCGTCTGTCTGCCTGGCCGTGTAAATAATTTTCTGTCCGTTTGATTACTTATGAGTCTATCTATGTCTGTAGTTATTCTCAGTGGTATTGTTGTATATCACATGAATTTAGATAAATAGATGGATAGATATGTACATATATATGTAGGGGGGGGGGTGCAATTCATATCCATATTCAATCAGTTTATTGGGTTATTCTCTCCCGTCCCTACCCCTGCCTTACCGACTGCATTCTTTAAGGATCGCTTGCGCCCCCCCCCCCCGTCCCAATTAGCCCCAGCCCGCCCCCTCCGCCGCCGGGGCTTCAGGCAGCGTCGACCTCCGCCCGCCTCGCCAGACGCAGCGGGAGAGGCACGCAGTCACGGCCCGCCCGCCTTCTCGCCAGGAGGTGCGCGCCCCCGCCCCGCCGCCCCCTCCGGCAGGCACTGAGCACATGGCCGAGGGGAGGCAGCCTCACGCAGCGGCGGCGGCGGGAGCGAGCCATGAGCCACCACGCCCGCCCGCACGCCACGCAGACACTGGAGGCGGTGCGTGGGGCGCCTCGCTCGCTCCGGTGCCACCTCGGCCTCGGGGCGCCCCTCGCGCGCCCCCCGCCCCTTCGCCGCCGCCCCCGGCTCTTTGTTCCGAGGCTGGCGATTGTATGGCTCCTCCAGGAGAGGGACAGGGACTCGGGTTGAAGGAGGAGGAGGAGGAGGAGAAAGTGGAGGAGGAAAAGGAGGCACAGGGAGAGAAGAGGAGAAACAGGGGCAAGGGAAAAGGGGGAGGAGAGGAAAGCATCTTGATCTGTCTATCAGTCTGTCAGTCATTCGCATGCCTCTCTCTTTCACAATCTGTCTAACTCACTCTCTCTCTCTCTCTCTCTCTCTCTCTCTCTCTCTCTCTCTCTCTCTCTCTCTCTCTCTCTCTCTCTCTCTCTCTCTCTCTCTCTCTCTCTCGTCCCTGCGTCCTTTCTTTATTCCCAATATGTATATACGAAATCAGAGATTTGCATGCATAGCAAAAACGAAATTTAATATTGCAAAGGAAAAAAAATCTGCGAAATCAAAATGTCAAGGTAACGGTTCCGGTGACAAACAGAATCAAATATCAGGGATTGTGATACAACGCCCACTTCTCTATAGGTGTCAATGTATATATATATATATATATATATATATATATATATATATATATATATATATATATATATATATATATATATATATATATATATATATATATATATATATACTTATATATATATATATATATATATATATGTGTGTGTGTGTGTGTGTGTGTGTGTGTGTGTGTGTGTGTTTGTGTGTGTGTGTATGTATACAGTGTGTTTATGTTTGTGTGTGTGTGTGTGTGTGTACGTATCTATCTATCTATCTATCTGTCTGTCTCTCTCTCCATAAAAAAATATATTTATTTATTTATTTATTTATATACATATATATACATATATATATATATATATACACACACGCACGCACAATTGACAGCGGCAGAGCGGGTCGGGTCGACGTGCATGTTTGAGCGTCCGAAAGCATTCATGAATCTCTCCCCTGCATGATTTTTCCGCGTAGACTTCGCCCGTGCATTGATCTCGCGCCCTTTGATGATCCGCCATCGCCGCCCCGCCCCCGGAAAGCCCACACCATCATATCGCTCACACGCCCACAGGACCATTAAAGCGTACGTATGTGTGGAGTTAAGTGGGCGTGGGCGAGAATCACGTCCCTTTAAACGTAGATTATTTTTTTTTACGTTCTCAACACGAATGCAAAAGCGCTTCTCTGCGACACGTAGTAAATCACGTGTTTTTTTTTTTTTTTTTGTACTGCATAGTGAAGCTTTTAATTGAGAGCTGCATTGGCAATAGTGTCTTTGTGTGCGTGTGTGTTGTATGCAAGCTTTACCTTGTGCGTGCGTGCGTGTGTGCATGTGTGCAACACATTGATCTCGTGTCTCACCGACTTCCAGACTGTCCCTTCCCCTCGCCCTCTCTCCCCTCTCCTCTCCCCTCTCCTCTCCCCTCTCCTCTGTCCTCTCCTGCGCCCCCCTTTGCCTCTCCTCTCTCCCCTCTCCTCTCCCCTCTCCTCTCCCCTCTCCTCTGTCCTCTCCTGCGCACCCCTTCCCTCTCTCCTCTCTTCTCTCTCCTCTCTCCTCTCATGCGCTCCCCCATCGCTCTCCTCTCACCTTTCCTGCCCCCGCCCCCTTTCCTCCCCAACCCCACCCACTCCTCCTTCCTCTCCTGCGCTTCCCCTCGCTCCCGCCCTCCTCCCCTCTCCTCCTCCTCCTCCTCCTCCTCCTCCTCTCCTTCCTCCTCCTCCCAGCTCACCTCACTCTTGCTCTCTTCCTACCTAACTTCCCCTCTTTTTTGCAAAATTTTCCCTCTTGTGCCGCGTCCCTCGTGCTCCCTCGGCTCAAACGAGTGTATATTTAGAATCCCAATATTTACCTGTGGCTGCAGGTAAGAGAAAAAAGGGATAGGAAAACAGAGAATATCTGCTGTATTTGTGGAGTAAGTGCATGCAGCAGATGGGAGAGGAAGCGGTCATGAACGATAGAGAGAGGGGAGAGGGCGGGAGGAGGGAGAGGAGGAGAGTAAAGGTATGGGGGAAGGGAAGGAAGGAGGGGAGTGGGGAGGGGGGGAGGGGAGTGGGAGGGGCCGAGACTGCCGACTGTTTGGGTGTCTGCTGCCGCCAACGCCGCCAAGTGTCCGAAACCACTACACTCATGGTTTTGTCCTTGACTTTGACCACAAATGACCTCTTTTTTTTAAGTATCAGGTATTTAGACACTGCAACATACTGATATCCCATTATCTGCGTATTATTAGGAATCACATAACACTAAAAAAGTCACACAAAAACGTTACGGAATGAATATGCAACTGGAGATCCCCGCAAACACTCTGAATGCAGGACAGAATCCAGACATTTGTTCCAGACGACGAGGAGGGGGGGGGGTCACAGGGAGGGATGAACACTTGTTCCAGACGCAGGGCAGGGCCGGTCGAGGGTCACTCTTACGTACGTTGAGGGAGAAAAGGAGCGAGGGACACGTGCACTGGCCATAGCGGGGATGAGGACCGTTTTAGGACAACCTTCCCCTCCCCCCCCCCTTCCCTACTGCGTCTGTTCAAAGCCCTTCAGGAATACAGAAATCTCACTTGGCTGAGGTAGAATTGAAGCAGAGTAGATAGGTATCCCTATCCTTTCACTGAGGGAGAAAAGAGGCCCTTCGAACATATAGAAGGAGGAACATGTAGGCCTGATACTTCGGAACACTTAGGAGGGCAAAGACCCGTGTCCCGAGACCCAGTTATCCAACAATCACTCGAATGATCTGAAAAAAAGAAGAATAAAGAATAATCGTAATATTTGTAATGACAATAATGGTAATGATGATAATGATAATGATAACAATAATAATAACAATAACAGTGATAATGATAATAAAAAAACACAAAAAATAATAACAAAAGTAAAGGAGAACAAACTCCAACTAAAACAAATGAGCATCAGACGCCCAAAATGCGGAAGTCTCTGCGGATTCACCAGACCTCTCTCTTCTCGGACGAAGCTCGCGCCGGAATTAATCAGCCGGCCTCACATGCGTCCTCGGATGATGATGAGGGGGCCTAATGCTCCAGATGGTGCGGGAGGGAATCCTGATTCTCCAGATGCTGAGGGACAGTCTTCTGATGCCCCAGATGCTGAGGGGCGGTCTCCTGATGCCCTAAATGCTGAGGGACGGTCTTCTGATTCTCCAGATGGTGCGGGAGGGAATCCTGATACTCCAGATAGTGAGGGAAGGCTTCCTGGTGCTCCAGATACTGCGAGAAAGGCCTCCTGGCGCTAAAAAGAGGCCCTCCTGATGCTCCAGACGCTGAGGGAGGGCCTCCTGGTGCTCTAGACGTTAAAGGGAGGGCCCCTTGATCCTCCAGACGCTGAAGGCGGAGAGCAGAATATAGCAGGTGTGGAAGGGGACTGGGAGGCGACGGCGAAGAGGAGTTTAGAGATGAAGTAAGTGGATAAAGACGGAAGACCATTTTTTCTGGGAAGGGGATACATAATCGTAGCGAAAATACACAAAGAGCGAGCGAGTTTATCTTTTTCCTTCTTTCTCTCTCTCTTTCTTACTTTCCTTCTTTCTTTCTTTTGATACTCTGTGGTTTAGTTCCTCAGCAGGAAGGAAAGTATTTACTTAAAGACGACTCGTGTTAGAATGGGTTGTGTATGCATGGATATAGAAGGGAACGGAGATTCACACGACTGTGTAGAGGATCACTTACAGGAGAAACGGAAGGGCATTACCACTTACGTACTATCAGGAGGAAAGGCCTCTTGACTATTACAGGAGGGAAGGAAGAGAACTGACACTTAGTTATATCAGGAATAGAAGAGGAGCATTACCACTTACTTAAATCAGGAGGAAAGCATAGAAATTGCCACCTCCTCATATCACCACTTACTTATAGCAGAAGGAAAAGGAGGGCATTACCACTTAAGAGCATTGCCACTTACTTATAAAGACGAAAAAAGGACAATACCACTTACTTAATAGTATTACCATTTACTTATAGCAGCGGGGAATGAAAAGCATTACCACGTACTTAAGGACGTTACCCCTTCCGTATAACAAGAGGGCGTCACCACTTACTTACACCAAGAAAAGTGGAAGGAAATTCCACTCACGGTAAACTTCAGGCTTCGGGTATTCAACTGAAATCAGTTCGTTGAGTTTCGAGATAAACATACGGCTGAGATTCCCAAGAAACGGATAACGTCCAAGAGGAGAGTAGTGAAGGGGAGGAAAAAGGGAGCCAAAGGATAATAAAACCAGGAAAGAAAAAGAGATGAGGAGGAAATTCCATAAATATTAATTCTTAGCTTGAAATGAAATCGGGTGTTGCGAGAGCGAACGTGAGAATTAAGGAATGGATAACGTAGGGAGTAAATATAGAAAGATAAGAAGCAGATGGGTTCGTCTGAAGTAGGGGTAAACATGCACGGCTAAATGAGGGAAGGGGAGACTGCTTGGGCGAAGGGAGGGGGGGGAGAGGGAGGAGAGAGGGAGAACGAGAGGGAGGAGGGATTAAGAGAGAGAGAGAGGAGGGAGATAGAGGAAGAGAGGGAGGAGGGAGATAAAGGGAGGAAGAGAGGAAGATAGAGGGAGGGAGGGAGGAGGGAGATAGAGGGAGAGTGGGAGAAGAAGAGAAAAACAAAGGGAGAGGGAGCAAGGAAGAGAAGGAAAGAGATAGGGATTAAGGGAGGGAAGGAGATAGAGAGAGAGAGAAAAGAGAGGAAGTAAGAGAGAGTACGGGAGTAAGAGAGATAAAGAAAGAGAGAGAGAGAGAGAGAGAGAGAGAGAGAGGAGAGAGAGAGAGAGAGAGAGAGAGAGAGAGAGAGAGAGAGAGACCCTTTACGTATGAATCACTCCTCGGATTCACACGACGTAAAGATATAAATAAATACCTTTTTTTCCTGGCCTCTCGCGCTCCGTTGCAGCCTCGCTCGTATATTCAGATGCCGGAAGTCGATACACTCGGTTATGTCACTCTCCTTCCCGGAATTCGTGTCTCCCCCCCTCCTCCCCCCCCCCTTTTCCAATCCTCCTTTCCTCAACCTCTCCACACATACCCCCCCCCCCCCCACTCCCCGCCCTTCCCGTCGTGGATTACCCATCTCCCCCCACATAAGAATATACCCAATAACCACCTCCCCAGTGACTATACCCACCTCCCCCCTCCCCCCCGTTGACTCTACCCATTCCCGCTAGTTGACTCTGTCCCCCTCCCCCCCCACACACACATTTGTTGACCATACCCACTCCCCCTCCCCACCCCCACCCCGCCCAACCCTTCCCCGGCGACTATACCCATTCTCCCCCCCCCCACCCCATCCCCCTCCACCCACGAAAGTTCCTCCGCGTAAACATGCACATCCTCCCTCCTCTCCCTCTCTCCACGTGCGAATGAATGAGTACAAAGAATGAATGAATTAGTGTCGCATCATGCAAGCAGGCAGGCGGCAGCGGCGGCGACGGTGGTGGAAGAGGAGGAGGAGGAGGAGGAAGAAGAGGAGAAGGAGGAGGAGGAGGAAGAGGAGGAGGAAGATGAGGAGGAAGAGAAGGAGGAGGAGGAAGAGGAAGAGGAAGAGGAAGAGGAGAAGGAAGAAGAGGAAAAAGAAGAAGAGGAGGAGGAGGAGACGGTGACGACGTCGGCGGCGACAGAGGAGGAGGAGGAGGAGGAGGAGGAGGAGAGAAGGAAAAGGGAAGCGCAGAAGGCATCATGCTTCGTGCGAATGCCTCCGTGCACCTTAATGAATGAGGGATCATGTCTGGCGGTGAGTCTCGCGGGATGAAAGGATGCTGTGACTGATGCTCTCTCCTTGGGCCCGTGTCCGTCGGCTTCCCGCGGGGCTCATCTCCTCCGCTCTTGCACGCTCACCGACACAGGGCACAAGACGGGCAAAGCAAATCAAGCAAGTAAGCAAGAAGCCGAAACGCGGATGAGAGGAGGCTTGATGGGAGCGGAAAGCTTGTGAGCGTAAGTTCTTGAGAGCGATATTAAAAATACTTACAAGTTTATAAGTATAAGTTCTTGAGAGCGATATTAAAAATACTTACAAGTTTATAAGTATAAGTTCTTGAGAGTGATATTAAAAATACTTACAAGTTTATAAGTATAAGTTCTTGAGAGCAATATTAAAAATACTTACAAGTTTATAAGTATAAGTTCTTGAGAGCGATATTAAAAATACTTACAAGTTTATAAGTATAAGTTCTTGAGAGTGATATTAAAAATACTTACAAGTTTATAAGTATAAGTTCTTGAGAGTGATATTAAAAATACTTACAAGTTTATAAATATATGTTCTTGAGAGTGATACTAAAAATAAATCTAAGCATAAGAGTATGAATTCTTGTGAGTGATATTAAAACAGACCTCGAGAGCGACATTAAAAATACATACAAGCTTATGGGTATAAGTTATTAAGATTGATATTAAAAACAGATATAAGCCTATGAGTATAAGTGCTTGAGAGTGATACTAAAAATAGATTTAAGCTTGTGAGTATAAAGTCATAAAGAGTAGTACTAGAAATAAATAGATATATGCTTGTGAGTATATTTTTTCGGAGTAATACTAAAATCGATATAAGCTTGTGAGCATA